TTATTCGACAACTTCTGATGTAGTAGACTCTTATCAACATTTAAACTGTCCAACATAACAAATCATCTAATAATATCACAAACAAAGAAGGCCGGTCTGTTTGCTCACTTGCCATCCAATCAAGATAATGCGATAGTATAGTGGATATAACGCTGGGTCTTTGTGACGCAGGTTGCTCTTTACACAGCCGGTGTGTGCATTCGACTTCGAACAATGTTCTGAATTGTTTATGATGTACAGTAGAAGGTTCTCTACCAATATTTTGTTTCCATTATAGTCTATGTAATAAAAATTATTATGAAGAAAAGTTTATTCGCTATAAACTAGCGACCAGCTCCGGACTAGCGTGGATAGGACCTATAAATTTGGCGTTGTTTGGATTTGAGATATGCAAAGACAAACTTCGTTTTAAAAAAATGAACTTAATATTAGATCGTGTTCTATTTGCTCTCAGCACAATTCGGTGTCCTAATGAGAAGATTAGCCCGGATAAACGGACCGACAGACGGACCAAAAAATTAAAAATATATTTATGCCTTACTATATATATATATATATATATATATATATATTGACTGCTGATGATCATGAGGTCCTGGGTTCAAAGCCCGGGGTCAGAAAGTTGGCGGTGTCTCATCCCCGTGCCTCGAAAAGCACGTAAAGCCGTTGGTCCTGCGCCTGATCTCTCTCCGGTCATGTCGGTTTACCCTAAAATCGGAATATGAGATTGATGAAATAGAGAGTGCACCTGTGCTTGCGCATACACTTGGGCACTATAATCCTATCCTGCGCCGCTGGCTAGCCTCCGTTGAGACAGGCCGCCGTGACTGAAATGTCTGGTCTGGAGGATTGTGTGTATATATATGTATATATATATATATATATATATATATATATATATATATATATATATATATATATATAAAATATATATAACCCCCTGAGCTTGACGGTAGGCAGTTATTATAAAATTACATACAGACACTCTAATTTTAATATAAGATTACCCCCCCCCTTTTTAATATATTTATGGGTCCACTTACCACCCGGAAAACACTTGCCCAAACGGGAAAAAAAAAAAAAAAAAAAGAAAAGGTTAGAATGAAAAACGGGGAGTTTTTAATCATGAAAAAAAAAACACCGAAAAAAAAAAAAAAAAAAGAACAAAAACCCCCTTCCACCTAGTGTTAGCGAAAGCAAGGGAGAAGCTTATTGGTCGGGGCTCGGACAACTGTTCTTAAACTTTTATAATTTGACAAATGTTCGAACATACTACATACAGATTCGTAAAAGACAAGGTTTATTTAATATTAATAAATAACTATCACCCTTCTTTTTTCAGTATCCTTGTTACCTTTGAACTGAAATATTGAATAAATGTCATAACCCTCGGATCCAATTAAGATAATCAATAGACCAGCTTACATTTCTCTAGATTTCTTGTAAACTCCAGACGCTTTTAAAAACAGTTCAAACGAACAAAGTTAATTGGGCTGAAAGGCTAAAAGTCAATTAGTTGTTCCTGCATTCTGTTATTTAATTACTAGTGGACAAATTACACAATGAAAAATATTTTTTACCGCTATTTACCATGTTGTCTACGACAAGATAGCTCCACGATAACTGATTTTGTTATTTTATAATTTGTCATACATTCAATTATTCAAAAATTATTTTAAATCTCATCTTCATCATCGATGTTGTAGACTTGCTCTTCTAGCGTGATTCCGAAGAGAGTGAAATAGAGGAACAACAAGCCAAAGAGCAGGCTGTTCTGGTTGCAAAGCCCGACGTACCAGCTCCCGTGCATGAAGACTGGAATGAAAGTGTGTAGCCTGCAGCCTTGTGGGCTGAAGAGGTGGCTCCTCCTGCCTTTGGAGCACCACTTGCACAGGAGGACTGCGTGGCTCAGGTACAAGACGAGTGGGGAACAGCCGGTCCCGCCCCGACTGCTGCTGCCCCCGCCACCGCGGCGCCAATTTCGGGAGGTTCTGCTCAAGACTGGAGTGCTGCATAAATGTTATAACTGCATTGGTTGATTTAATTATATCAGTTTAATTTAGCTATTTAGAGGTATCAAAAATCAGGGATCGTATTTATTTATCAAAAATACATTTAAATGACCTTCATTTCACCTCCAAATAAAGTGAAGTAGGCTTAATCACAATATGATATCGGCCTCACTTTAGTCGAGAAACAGACCAATATCTAGTTGTTAGGATGTTTTTGAGTTGTTGCATACGAGATGACCCATTGTTGCCACTACCATAATATAGCTGCAGCTTGGATCATCCACGTTTAACAAACATTATATAACATAATAATTTTCTGTCATGCCTCTTTGTCAACGTTAAGTATTTTGTTGTGTACACATCACATCAACTGAGTATCAAGCTGTCATAATTTTTTTTGTTTTTGAAAGGTCAATATATATATATATATATATATATATATATATATACGTCTACGGAAATAAGACAGGAGCTGGACTCTGCGTATGGGGACTGCAGCATCATTTATCACAGTGAAATTTGGGCAGCTGAATTTAAAACCTGGCCGCTTGGGAGACGATTAACGTTTGGGACGTCCAAAAACTGCAACTACTGACGATAACAACGCTAAAGTTCACCAAATGTAACTAGACGACAGCCGAATTAAAGTGAGGTGTCACATAATGTTAAAGCTTTAGGGATGAGAACACTGTCAACGCGTTGGTTGCCGCGTTTGGTCAAGTTAGACCAAAAACGTGTTCGAATGAACATTTAGAGCGCTTCGTTGGCGAAAATTAGCCGCTATAAATTTGAGTTTTGCCGCCGATTAACTACAGTAGATGAAACTTGGATACACCATTATACGCCCGAATCAAAAATACAATCAAAACCGAGAGAATAGAGAATAGATAGAGAACCGGCTCCAAAAAAAAAGCAAAAACTGTTTTTTCGACTGGGAAAGTGAAAGAAAAACTATTATAGAATTATTTTACTTATAATCTCTTGACAAACTGAAGGCAAAAATTACGGAAAAACAGCCATATTTGCAGAAAAAGAAAATCCTGTTTCACCTTGACAACTTACTTAACTTACCTCTCAGCTGTTGCCATGCAAAAAATCCACATCCAATTACGGTTTGAACTGCTTGACCATACGCCTTACTTACCATATCTTTTCTTTGTTCCCTCACCTAAGTATTGCGCTCGGAGGACAGAGATTTCGTCAAATGAACTTCGTGAACAATTGATTGCAGAGAAAAACGCCGAGTACTATTTGGAGGGATTAGAGAGATGACAGTATCGCTGGGAGAATTGTGTAGAGTTTAGAGGAGACTATTTAGAAAAATAAAATAAATTTTAAGAAAAAATGTTTTGTATCTTTGTTAGGTCGGAAACTTTTCAGAACACCCACGTATAATTGCTTTAACAAGTAAATTAAATTATTCGTATTTCGTTTAGATTCCAATCAATGTTATAATTAATTTATTTCGGTCTGTTTCTTCGAGCCAATTAATTTCTATTTGATGTAGTCTATAAATTTTAGATTCTCATCGAATGCTTAAAATATTACTAACAATATTTTCTGAATATCTGAAATCAGACTATCAGAAAATGTCAGACTCAAATATATACTCATATTCGCATACAATAAAAATTAAATTGAATCGCTCTTAAAGATTTTTTTGAGACACAGAATAACAACGATCAACACTCCATGTGATGATAAGTGCAAGATGCGGTCCACAGACAATTTTTTTTAATGTTGGGAATTCATCATGGATATTTTTGGCACAACGGAAGTGTTATGCCCACAGAAATAATAATAATAGAATATTATTACAATTTCTGTGGTTGTACCGAACTTCTATTAGCTATAAACCCGCGGTGGTCAACATCAGCGTATAAGAACCTCAATATACAATTTAAAGCCTAAAGAGGCACTCAGACAAAAAATTAAGGAAATTAATATATTATTAACTTTGACCTCTAAATATATATATGAAGATGTAATCCTATACCTTTAAACGAGCAATTCTTGTATATATATATGGAAATGATATCATCCATAAATGGAAATTTATGGATGATAGTAACTCGTGGGACTGAGGTGATTGTTACGAAGCTATTTCTAATTTGTTATGTGTTATTGATTATGTATATTATGATTGTAAGACGTACATTACACGCTCATGCAGGCTGTCAGTTTTACAATAATCACGGTTGTGATTGACGAATAACCTACAGTCAAATGCAGTGATTGACGCCTGCATGAGCGTGTAATGTACGCCTATCAGTCACCATCCGTTTTTTATCAATCATGATTGATGAAAATGATTGACACCCGCATGAGCGTGTAATGTACCCCTATACTGTTATTTTTGTTTCAAAGAAAAAGTTTTGGTGGGTTTCTTGCTGGTTGTTCCCAAGATAGAGGTTTTTCCGAACCAGTGGTATATTAAACAAAAAGTGATTTTCATTAAGTATTGATTATAATCTATATTGAATAAAAAGATTCAATGTTCAATATCGAATGAAAATTTTGCGTCTGCCAAGCTTTGCAATACTTGAAGCGTCTGACCAAAAATGATACAAGTAAATGTTTACAAGAGTGAAAACTTAAAAGAAATTCTCTACATTAAAAAAAATTCGTGTAGTTAAGAAATAAATGTTGCAAAAACACTAATCAAAACTTGTGTACAAAACTAGCATTCAAGAAATGTATATATCATACTTTAGTTACAAACAATTCTTAGATAATAATATTGTCGTGATTTTATGTGTGAGTTGTTTATAATACAAGAAAGTTACACAGTGTAAATAAGGCATTAATGCTTCATTGCTTAATTGCTTGCATTCAAGGATGGCATTTTTTTACAATGGCCCTAATCGTGTTTAATCAACTGCGTCTCAGGTCACCTTTATCATAAGACCGAACGGTATATTTCATCAGAACGTGCATAATTGTTATAAGAAACAGTAGCTTGTCGAAGAAGTCAGTCTGATAGCAAATATGTTGTGGGTTTCGGGTTTAATATTTATAATTTTTTGTGGAACTACAAGCGGTTATATTGTTAAGGGTAAGTAGTTATAATTTTCTTAACTGTAGCTAAAGAAAAAACAAAAAATTTTTATAACTTTAATTTCAGAGTTATTTACTACTTTAGCTACAGAATTATTTACTTCTTTACATTTTAATAATGTCGCTTGAATTTGAAAATTAATGCAATATTATCATCAAATAAGGATATAACATGATAATCTCCCTATCTAATAATCAATTCTCCACTCTACATTAAAAACGAATTTTAAAAATAAACTTTATATTAAAAAGAATTTTAAAGAGTAGCACGTGGTAGAGCTATGCTGCAGCTATGTTCTGGTTGTAACACGAATAGCCAGACCGGTGAAGGATCACACTTTCACAGAATAATAACGTAAAATAGCTTAGTGCTGCTGTGTTTCGTATGGTGTGCGTAGAGAACCGGAGACCCTTTTAACCGAAAACGATGCATTCAATTTAGTCCTCAGCGGTGACAACGCATCTAAATTGTGATTTTAATAGAGGATAAGTATAAATGTCTATGGGAACAGCATTTATTTACCACTGGGTGTATAGCTTATTCTATAAAAAATGAGTCTCTAATATATTTATTTTTAAATATAATTTTTCATGCCCTTAAATTTTAATACGTGCTGAATCATGATGGGTTTACAAGAGTACTTCTGTGTGAGAGGTTCTTTTTAAACTATTAATGTAAATATATACAGGTTCTCCCCATTCAAATAATGTTATTTTCTTTTTATGACATTGAAGTGATAAAAGGTCATAAAGTCGACCTGGTCCGCGATAGTAGGACCAGTTATCATGGACTCTATCTATTCCATGTACTATGTATTGTAAGGACGGAACTCATATTTAAAAATATCTCAAATTTTTATGTGGTAAATGACGAATACCAGCCTTTTTACTGGTAACGAGGTAGCATAAGTCCTAAAGAGATAACGCGTCTGTATTTTAGTTATTAATCGAGAATATACGTAGGAGTTTAAGCCACATCATCCACTCATTCTCTGGTGGTGAGCTAATCTTAATCGATCTGAACGCTTCGTTACCAATAAAAAAAGTTGTCAGGCTCTTTTCACTCATTAGAAAAATTATTGTTGTTGTTGATTTTTGCATATTGATAGTATTCTGCTGTAAGAGGGTGAATACGGGCGTGGATAAGTTTGATGGACTTTTACCCTCTACCTGTAATGAGTACACAGTTTATTGACTTGTTGTCACGTGTGCGGGCTCTTTCGCTTTTTGGACTTTTCTTGTGGCACGAGCAGTATTACTCAAGATGTATTGGCTACTTTTGGGCTCTTTACAGGATTGAGTTCGCATTTGGGGAATGTCAGGATTTTGAAATTTATCAACAAAATACTGTAAGTTTTAGCATTGGAAAGGTGTAAAAGGCGACGTAATTGATCGTGAGAGCGCACAAAAACCAACAGTTGGTTTGTTTTTCTCGCTCTTGTTAACTACGTTTGAAACAAAATGTCAGGGTTTTTCAACAAACATCAGGTTATTCGCCAGGAATTTTCAATTTTCTGGTAATTCTTATCAATAGAAATTTTTCTAAACACCAATCACGTGACTTTTGCAGCTACTTATGGCGTGTGTTCAGTTTTGTGAGATGCCACGTACACATGCCTTTTAGTCGCTACCTAAGATGCGTGAAGTATTCAGAAGGTAGACTTATCCTCATTAGTAGTAATAATGTCCTCCAGACTGAATTTTGGTCACGGCGGCGTCTCAAAGGAGACTACCTGCGAATATCTGCGTAGGACAGGGTTATATAACACTAGCGTACACGCAACCATAGGTGTTGCAAAAAAGTCTCCGGTTCTTTACACTCACCATACGAAACACAGCAGCATTAAGCTGATATTTTACGCTGGTATTCTGTGAGAGCGTGGTCCTACCTCGGTCGAGCGACTCATTTGTGCTAAAAGCTGAATACAGCTGCAGCGTGGCTCTACTACGTATAGATCGATTTTACTGCCATCTATTAGATGGCCGTCACCCTTTTCCCATATCGTCGCGAGGGTGTCGTAAGAAGCGACAGAAGGGACAAAATGGGACGAAACAGGGAATGAACAGCAGCATCTTCCTGAGAATATCTCATAGTTAAAAAAATTGCGATTGCCAAGCCCTCTGCCAAGCGTGGTAACTTTGGCAAAGTCCCCCCTATGAAGCAGTGTATAGGAAGGTCTTATTTCAGTAGTGAATAAAAAAGTTTCTGTTTCAATAAGCATAATTAAATATAGTTTTTTAATAATCAACCTTTTTAAAAATAATTTTAAAACAAATGGATTCTCTTTATCTGGGGGCACGGCAGTGCCCCCGCCAAGTCGAGCAAAAAAGCGGCACGGCTATACTACTATACTATACTTTTCTCGAAGCAATTCAGTGTGCCTAGTGCGAGTTCCACAAAATTAATCGAATGACTTCACCATCGCGCTAACCGAGTTAACGTCGTCGGTATCGACAAGCGAAGACGAGCGAGTGTGAGTTACAATCGAATCGTTAACCTTTCGATTCGCGTTTGCTCACCGTGAATGGCGGTTATTCCTTATCTTATGTTGGTAGCACGTTCGTTCCGTGAGATAAACTAACCAAATTCAGAATGACATTTTTATTCAGTGGTCTTAATATTAGCATCTGTCTTTCATATTTGTGGTATCTTTATTACCCTTTTTGTTTATGTTTCGTAATTTGATCAAGGTTTCGACACTCGACAGTTTGTGTTAGTTTAATGAGATTATGAATTAGATATGAACGAGTAACTTGTCCGTGATTGTTAATAATATAACGTTTAAATTAAAAGCAAAAAACATAAAGATGTGTTCGTTTTAATATGCTTTTATAGTGAAATTTTTGGAGCAGTGTGTGAGCAGTGGAGCAGCGAATATCTAAGAATAATTTGGTAACTTAGTTCTTAAATAATATTATGCCATCAAAAACATAACTTGTAAAAAAACCAAGTCTCGCAACTCAGTTCTTCTATCATAAAAAGTTGTGAGATCTATGTAATACCAAGTCGGTTAATTTATTCAGTCCCTACTTAAGGGTCCTTCTGTTTTAAGTGTTTACGTAATTAGCTAACCTAACAACATTTTATAGTGACCATATCAATGTTAAAAATCTTTTATGTCTTAAATATATAGATTGACTTGGAAATCGCACTAAGCGATCTAATTTAATATAATATGTATTACTTGTGAGATACATTGTGTTTTCATGCGACGACCAAGTCAATCTATATATTTAAAACATACAAGATTTTTAACACTAATATGGTCGCTATAAAATGTTGTTAGGTTAGCCAATTACGTAATCACTTAAAACAGAAGGACCCTTAAGTAGGGACTGAATAAATTAACCGACTTGGTATTACATAGATCTCACAACTTTTTATGATAGAAGAACTGAGTTGCGAGACTTGGTTTTTTTTACAAGTTATGTTTTTGATGGCATAATATTATTTAAGAACTAAGTTACCAAATTATTCTGAAATTGATTGAAATTTAACAAAATTTTTGATATCCGCGGATGCCGATGCGAATTTTAAGTGTTTCTAAAGAATACTACTTTTCAGGGATTCAACAGTGAATCTAACTCATCTAAAGATTGGCTCAAACACCCACGAAAATGGGGGGTAGTCTCAAATCTTGGGGGGGGGGGGCAAAAATGCTAAACTACATCACGTGTTTATAGACAGCCTCTAAATCACAAATCCTCACAAAAGGACAAGGATTCCTACCAAGGCCAAAATAAAAATATGAATAAAGAAGATGGCAGCCATCTTCTTGGCATTCTATAGTTAATAAAATTAAGCCCAAACACAAGCATACTACAAGTCTCGTCAAGTACTCTATGCTGGTTCTGTGTAAATTAGACCAAATACTTTATTTTTAAAAGCTGAAGGTAGCCTTCGTTAATTATGTCATCCGGTCGTCAAATACCTGAATCCCCTAAGAGATCATGATTGCTGTGAAGTGCCCAAGATGTCACGAATTTAAAGTTGAAGTTAAACGAGACAAAAACCGTAAAACCATTTCTATCCGATCATTATTTTTATTCTTGCAGACGAATGTCCACCTGACGAGGAATATCTCACTTGCGGGTCAGCATGCCCCTTAAACTGCACCAACCAGGAACCAGTTGCGTGCACAAAGAATTGCGTTGCAGGTTGTTTTTGCAAGCCCAATTATTTGAGGAATAAGAATGGAACCTGTGTACGACCTGAAGAATGTTTCGGTAAGAATATGCAGAAAATATTGACCTAGTACAATTTAACATTTACATCTTGTGTGATATATATTAGCATAGAATTATTAGGCTTAAAACCGCAGCAGGCGTACGCAAAGTGAAGCCGTTTCAAGTTAGACTTTTAAGGCTAAGTACGACTTTCGGCGCGTCAGTACTCGAGACCACGTAGTCGTGTAAAGAGCTCGCGCAATTTTGAAAAAAAAAATTACGTACTGTGCTGTTAAAGAGTGTCACAACTCATCACATAATCATGAAAAAAATTTATAAATCTAATTTCACGGGTCAAAACCGTCTAGCATCTTATACTTTTATAAAAACATTCACCAAAACAAAATAATAAATAGTAAATTTGACAGACGCCAATATAACGAAAATGTTGCTAGGCATAGTAAAATATTTTACCCCATATTTCCTTATCTATTATTGTTGTATTTTTATGTGGCAAATAAAAATACAATATTTAATTAATATTATTACGTATTTTGGTAATTTTATACTATCGCGGTCACCTCGTTTTTTGGCTCTAGAAAATCGAAAAATCATCCTATTTTCATGAATTTTTTTAAATCTTTGCGGCGGATTTATGGAAAAAAAATTGTAAAATTCTCACCTCAAAATTTCATTAGTTTTATGACTAAATGTGATCATAAACGAGCTTCTTCGAATATAATCGTTCACGACTTTTTTGTAAAGCGTTAGACGCAGTTTGTATATTTTTTTCTTAATCTACACAAAAAAACAAACATTTAAAAAAGGCATTGAAAAATGTTTGTTTATTAATTTTATATCTCACTAAGTTTTAGACTTTCATAACCGCTCTAGAAAATAGAAAAATTATCCGATTTCGATGAGTTTTTTTAAATCTTCGTTTTTACGGAAAAGATCAAAAGAAAAAGAATTAACTATGTATTATATTCAAAAATAAATCAATAACTTATATTATCCTCGAAAAAATATTGTAACAAAATAAAAAAAATTATGCAATCCTTGACTGTGATTGTTATATCTTAATCTAAATAACGCACATTTAAAAAAAATTAAAAAAAAATTGAAAAAAAAATCACATAATAATGTTTATCTATTAATTTTTTAGCGTAGCGGGCTAGGTACTTTGGGCATCCCGACTCGGACACGCTAGGTTAGAAGGAGATCCTATCGCCATCTCCTTCGTGGTTTATTTTTTATAAACCACTCAGAAGTAGGAGCCCTGTAGGTAGGGCTCCGTCGACCGGGCTTCCCTCGACTGCACTACGTTCTAATTCGAGCTCGCATCGCTCGATCTTACACTCAATAAAAAATTTATAAATTTACATTTATTATTTTTTTAAATGTTCTTTTTTGTGTAGATTATGAAAAAAATATAACAACTTCATTTGAATATTTAAAAAAAAGTTATCAACAATTATACGTGAATGAGTGCATTTTCATGAACATTTAAAGCCTTGAAACCAGTATAATTTTTTTTGAGGTGACCGCGATAGTAGAAATTACCGGTATTTTTATTTATTGTGTAAGTACTTGGGTACATATATTCATTTAAGAAATATTTTTAATTTCATGTTTTATTTGAAAAGTTTTTCTCCTTCCGAATCTTATTTCGATTTATTAAAAAACGCCTATTCAATAAAATATATTATATATTTATATAATATGTAACGTAATTAAGGACGCGTTTACAAAATGGATAGGTATAGAATCGCACTATTACATTGACAAAAGTCACACACACACTAGTGTACGCACGGTTGGCTGTGGGAATCGTAGTCAAATGAAATTATTTTGATAATTTGAAAGATTGAATTTGTTTTTCATTTCTTATACCTACCTCAGAAATATACTTCGATACGAAATATGAATACCTGCTCCAAAGACTGCTTGGCACTGGAAGCCCTCTACTGGTAGTGAGATGTTAGCTCTGGACTTTGAACTGGTTTTGTCAGTTATAATAAGACCTTACCTACCTGCGGACTTGATGGAGTGACCTGAAGGTGTAATTTGGTGATTACAACAATAGGAACTCCTAGACTAGTGGAACTAGGTGTGCCGAGTTTGGGTTCGTTTTGTTGGTTATGATGAGACCTTACCACCGGACTTGATGGAGTGACCTGAAGGGGTAATTCAGTAACTACTGCTGGAATTTCTGAACGAGTAGAACTAGGTGTGCCGAATTTGGGCTCCGTTTTGTTAGTTATGACGAGTCCATACCTCCGGACTTGATGGAGTGACCTGAAGGTGTAAATCGGTGATTGCAACTGGAACTCCTAGACTGGTGGAACTAGGTGTGCCGAGTTTGGGTTCGTTTTGTAGGTTATGATGAGACCTTACCACCGGACATGATGGAGTGACCTGAAGGTATAGTTCGGTGATTACAAGTGGAACTTCTAGACTTGTAGGACTAGGTGTGCCGAGTTTGGGTTCGTTTTGTTAGTTATGATGAGACCTTACCACCAGACTTGATGTAGTGACCTGAAGGGGTAATTCAGTAACTACTGCTGGAATTTCTGAACCAGTAGAACTAGGTGTGCGGAATTTCACTCCATCAAGTCCGGTGGTAAGATCTTATCGTAACTAACAAAACGAAACCAAACTCGTCACACCTAGTTCTACTAGTCTAGGAGTTCCATTTGTAACCACCTGATTACACCTTCAGGTCACTCAATCAAGTCCGGTGGTAAGGTCTCATCGTAACTAACAAAACGAACCCAAACTCGGCACACCTAGTTCTACAAGTCTAGGAGTTCCACTTGTAATCACTGAATTACACCTTCAGGTCACTCCATCAAGTCCGGAGGTATGGACTCGTCATAACTAACAAAACGAAGCCCAAATTCGGCACACCTAGTTCTACTCGTTCAGAAATTCCAGCAGTAGTTACTGAATTACCCCTTCAGGTCACTCTATCAAGTCCGGTGGTAAGGTCTCATCGTAACTAACAAAACGAACCCAAACTCGGCACACCTAGTTCTACCAGTCTAGGAGTTCCAGTTGCAATCACCGATTTAGACCTTCAGGTCACTCAATCAAGTCCGGTGGTAAGGTCTCATCATAACTAACAAAATAAGCCCAAACTCGGCACACCTAGTTTTACTCTACAAGAAGTTCAAATAGCGGTCGCGAAAGTACACCTTCAGGTCACACCATCAAGTGCGGAGGTAAGGTCTCATCATAACCAACAAAACGAGCCCAAACTCGGCACACCTAGTTCCGCTCGTCCAGGAGTTGCAGTAGTAGGTAAGTTTATATATCCTACTTATTTTTAGCGAAATAAAAAACTGTGAGTATAAAAATAATAATTTTATCACTTGTCAAGTACTTATGTTTCCAATTTGTTTTTTTTCTAATATTTTGTGTATGTACAGCGATCTTTTCAGAATGAGCCACTGCAAACAGGCGATACAGTGTCCACTCACGACGGCGGCCGAGCGCGGACTGTGGTTTCATCGAAATCTTTGTACAATAAATCAAAGCAGGCACCAACAATAAAATAGCCCTTATTGCAATACATTATGATTCATCCGTATTACCAAAATATGTGAAAAAATGTGCATCAGTTTTTATTTTTTTTACGACTATTTGTGACATTTTGTTAAAAAAATAAACTCAGGGTTTTTTAATTGAATATGTCTGTCATCTTATAGTATTTTTTTAAATTTTTTAAATATGTTGATAATAGACCAAAACATATACCGAAACACAAGCCGGTATCGTTAATTTTGTAGAAAATGGCAACGAAAGTTCGTTTTTACAATATAAAAAACTACTATTTTCAACAAAAGAGTTACAGACATTTGCAAATGAAGAACCAATCTATACATGGTAGTTTTTACTTATATTTGATTTGGTTTAGTTTTGTCACAAAATCTACCGAAAAACACCCTAATTTTGGTTGATTTGCAAACGCGTCCTTAACGCACACCCTCAGACATCCCAATTAGTATATTATGTTATAATCATAATGCATACACTGAATTTTTAGTTAAATATTTTTATTTTTATGCACTGATTATTTATCAAATTAGTTATAATAATTCCAGAAGAATGTTGTGGTCACAGTACAAATCCACGAACGCAAAGACGTTTAACGTGCTTTAAATAATGTTCATTTTTCTTTATTTTTATTGAATGACAAAATTAGTAATAATACAAATAAAACTGCATTCTTAAAAGTCTTATTGCCTTAAGTTACGGTCCAATTCAGTTTGTTTTGACTATACAGATTTAGTGTGACTGTAATTTAAGTAGCTTTATTTTTTTAATTACGTAGTTTATTTTTGGGATAAAAAATTACCTATATATTAAAAATGTTAGGAATCGATTCTGTAACGATTCTGAACAAACTACTTCAGGATGTGCGTTAATTATGTTACATGTTGTATAAATACATAATACTTGATTATATAAATATGTCACTTCTAACAGAATGATATAATGACATTATAGATTTGTGTATATAAAACATTAGTTAACAAATATTTAATTTTTTATACAAAAAAGGATGTTATAATTAAATAAATATACATTAATATACACTTATATATATATAGCACTTTTAACAAAATAATATAATAACGTAATAGATTTGTAAATATATATTATAGCACAAGATATTACGTATATATAATTTAAATAAAATATTAGTTAACAAATATAAGTAATTTTACATTTATTTCTGTGTAAATTATTAATAAATAATTCTAAACGCAACCTAAATATTAATTTTATGACTATGTCTACTATTACACTTTGCCCATTTTTTGGGGAAATAGTCATTTACTTGCATACATTACTCATTTGCTTGTGTGCGTGCGGGCAAACGTAATTGCAGGCCGCTTATGCACACATTCATTGTGTTGTTGCTTCAACTTTGAACGGAATTTTGAATGACACTACGAGTATCACTCTAAGTCTAAGTACTCTATGGATATTAGCTTTTTCACGGTCTCTATTTTGTAAATTTGAAGTGGAAAACGAACTTAAAGTACACCTTA